GCAGAGAGAAGGAGCAGATCTGGGTCGCAGTTTGGAGATCCACATCACAACTGGATGTATTCAGGGGTTCAATGATAGGAAAGTGAACTAGAGCAACCATATTGTATGATACAAATGATGGGTCTTGAACGTTTGGATGCTACATCTCACATAGGTTCCACTGTCGCTGAGAATAACTGAAAACTGACGAAATGATTGCTATGTTTACGTTTGCTTAATGTTCTTCTTGGGTTTTGAGGACTGATTCTTACCGAAGACTTAAATCCAGAGTTTACACTGTTACATTTGCAGGGCTATTTATTTTGGATTACTGATCTCAGGGAAGGTACATAAATTTGCGGTATTCTCAGTTTGAAACTGCAGCTACTATAGGTGGGTAGCAACCATAAATGGTTTATTGAGAATAACTAATACATGCAAATGGTTATAAATTTAGATTGATAAGTGTGATGCCTATATTCTTGTATAGAATATTTCAGTGTATTTTTAAAAAACAATGCAATTCTTCAGAGACATATTTTTTTAATGCCTGACTGACATTTGTCCTGATAATGAATTTTGTTGCTGCCACTGTTGTTACTGGATTAGTCCCCATAATAGCAGTTTCTAAGGTGAAGCATTTATGGTACTGTGTTAAGAAAAGTGGCCGTTCAGCTCACATTACCTGTGGATTTAGTGGATTAACCGCTAAAATTCTAGAGTCCCAAAGAGCAGGTTTAAAATTCAATTACATTTTTATTGTAATTGAAAGCTACTATGCATTATATATATGTGTATATGTATGCATTAGAATTAAGTTAGCAGACCGTGAAAAGAGTTCAGAAATGGTCCTGCTAGCCCTTTTTTGATGTCACATGCATGAGGCAAGTTAAAATAACCATCAACTCTGACTTATACAGAGCCAGCTCTGCTCTTTTTGTACACTCGCACCTTCCTTCCAGTGGTACTGAAATGAATGTGAAGAGAGAGTTCAAGGAGAGCAACATTTGGCCTCCCATATTAAGTCAAGGAAATACTTGTTCTAATGTTTGTTTTAAAAAAATTACCTGAAGTATGATTTGATGCAATGTGCAGCTTTTAATGGTTGGGTACTGTTAAAAAGATGAAGAGAAGAGGTCTGTTGGGTATGCATGTCAGTGAAATTTCCTCACTGGTGAGCAGACCGTGTGATCTTACTAGCTTCAACTCCAGAACATGATCTCCCTATACTTAGCAGATAGATTTCACTTGAATTTCTAAATGAGAAAGAAAACCTGATACTTGGTCTGACAGCACACTTCTGTTCTAGGGACTCTGAATTTATACATCTTAAAGATGCATACTCTTTTGGGATATATTATCCCCCTCCTTCTCCACAGTGCCAAGCGGAATGAACAGATAATTTTTTACTTTCGTGTTCTTTGTTACTTGAATTGTTTTTCCTGGCTTAAAGATTTTCATAGGGAAGACCTCATTCTTAGACATTAAAAGCTCTGCTATAGGTAACCTTCAGAGCATCTGCATATACTTTAGGTCTGTGCATACATTTTACTGAAAGGGACTTTTGTGTTCAAACTGAACTGGTACAATACAAATGTTTGATGTGTTTTTCACTTTTTTTCTAGTGGTCGTTGCTTCATATGCTCATTGCTTCAGCTCACATCTTAGAATAAAGTCCTTATTCCCTACCAACTCGATTTGTATGTGTTGTTTTCAGTAGCGGGGCAAATCTAACGGGCTCAATTCTGCACTGTGAACCTGGGCAGCAGTGCTGGCTAAGTCTATGGGGAACTGTGTTTTAAGGCAAAAGTGCAGGGAAAGGTCAAAAGGTAAGGATTTTTTTCTCAAGAAAATGTTTGTGATATTAGCTACAGTTGGGAGAAAAAGGGAAAAGAGGAAGGTTGCCCTTTGGCAGTTGGATTTCTGGACCACAGATGATGCAGCAGAGCCCTGCAGCTGGAGATCTGGCACTGCCATGCACCTGAGGGCTCTGCCCCTGCCCCTCTGTGGCCTCTGGGGCTGAGTACTGGGCTGGTGACCCCCTGCCCAGCCCAGTGCTGGAGAACCCTCTGACCTGCTGCGTGCTGGGCTGGCGACTGGAGCTGGAGGTGGTGGTTACTGGTCACCATCTTTTCCAGAGTGCTTTCAAGTGAGGAAAGCTGGGAAAAGGTGAAAAGGAGGATGACAAGTGCACTAAAATAGTGAAGTGAAGAATAGGAGTGAATTTCACCAGGCAGCCCCTGTTTACTGGAAATTAGGGTCCTGAGAAGGGTCCTTGGGTGCAGCAGCTCACAGACAGAGCGAGGTGTGAAAAGCCGTTATGAGATTTGTGAAACGTGTGAACATGGGGGGGGTGCATTTTCTGATTATGTGGAGGCTGCTCTTGACTATGGAGATCATGTTTGGCTTTGGAATGAGCTTTAAATTATTTTCCTTGAAGGTGCGTGATTTAAAGTCAGTGGCTGTGAAGAGGGAGGGAGAAGAGCACCATCTATGTTCTAGCCAAACACAACTTGCTTAGTTTGAATGCAGGTGAAAAACTTATTTTTAACCAAGGTTGAGATATTTTTCCTGGAGGGATGGGGCAGGGGGAAGAGTGGAAGGAAAATCAAGCTGTTGATTTGTACCATAAATTGTTTTGCACACAAGGACTTTAAAGCTGCATTTGACTTTTGTGACCATCTCTTACTGTTCAAAATAACTAATGGATATGTAAAGTGGAAACAAATAGAACAAATAAGAAAAAACCGTGAAAACATTTTCTCCTTTTAGTATTTTTTTACAGTCACTACATGAAAGCATTTGAAGTGCTTCCTACTTCTGTTAACTTCTGTTTATAATTTTGAGGTCTACTTCCTTCCTGTTATGATTTCGGTGGCATTATAAATGATACGTTTTACTCCTGTAAAGGAGGCATAGCTACTGTTTTTTTCAAAGATTTCAGTGTGCGATTTGTGTCAATATTGGTTTCTCTGATTTTAATATGTCCACACTTAAAATAGATTCTTGAAAGAGCTTCATGCCAGAGCTCTGCAGCTGAAGTACCTATATTCAAAATTTGGTTCTGCTAAGTGGTTTTGCCTACTGCTGTAAACTGTATTAGCCTTAAAGTGATTGTAAATTTACCAGAAATGAGGAGATATATATTTTAAGCTGAAATACAGCGTAACAGGGTTTGTGGAAAAAACGCAGGATTCACGTGAAAACCCCTGTGGCCTTTTAGACAGGCATATGCATGCTGTTTACATCAGCGTTTATCAGCAGCGTGGAGGTGGGGAAACACCATCTTCGGCAGAGAGCTTTCAGGAAAAAGTAAAGCATTTTCTCTTGCACACTCTCAGATCACTGTCTGTTTATACTTGTAGAGAGGCAAAGGGGTGGAGAGAGAGAAAGAGTACTTACAAAAAAAAATAAAACCAGCAAAGTAGTTTGAAAAAATAATATCTCCTTTCCCAGGCAGAACTGTATGTCAAGTTTAGCTGAACTCAGACAGCAATTTTAAATATTTCCAGGCTGTTTTTACTAATCTGAACTCTGATCTGGATGGTAGGAGGCTAAGATTTATTTATTTACAATCAAGTGCTTTCGAGTTTGGTTGGCTCTGAAGAGAAGTTGTCAGGTCCCGGTGACTCGGAGCAGTTGGGAGGTAGCTGGTGTGCAGCTCATTCAAGCATTTAGCTTTCAGGCGTGTAGCCAGGTAGCACATCCTCTTTGCATCCCAGTGGGTGTGTTACATCTACTGCGCCCCACAGCCAGCTCCACTGCTGGCCTACAGGTACCAACTACCTCAATACCTGCAAAATGCTCAGTGCCTTGGATGTGCTGAAATGGCAGTCAAAGAGGAGCCAACGTAGGTATCTCAGAATAACACTTCTTGAACTATAGGCATTGAATAACTGATGATAGTTCTGGGGTAGGATTGAAAGGGTTGCCGTTACCCTTTTGGCAACTGCCAAGAGGATAAGGCAACCACCTGTGCATAAGTGGGAACCGAAAAACAGGCCAGATGCCTTGGTTCTGGGCTTGGATTTCTTTTTCCACTTTGTGCTGGCAGAGTCTGACCTGAAAGCTGATGTTGGAGTGGCTCTGCACAGGATGGTGTTTCGCAAAAAGGCAATAGTCAAGGAAGGGTAGAGCCCAGTCCATGTTTTCATCTCTTCGATTGGAGTAGCGTCATGCCCTGGGAAACAATGGAGACGAAACACAGGACTTCATTTTGCAAATGTGTTTTTATTGTTTCCTAAAGCATCTCTGCAGGCCAGCTGGCAATCTCCTGCCCCTCCAGTTACCCTGCTTCCAACTGGGGCCAGACACGGGACTGTGCTCTGGGCATACTTCAGTCTCCCAGGCTTTGGCTATCATTTTCTGCTCTCTTCAAAAGACAGGTCATGAATTATGCACAAATTCTGCCTCTTAAGCCAAGAGAACAGACAGATTCAAGTGACTTCTTTTGCACAAACCACAGGTAACGCATATCCGCTGTATTCCTGGGAAGTGGTTTCATCTTTGACCCTTGGGCTTGCTCTGTTTTGGTTTCAAGACAGGCTTCTGCATTCTTGCTCTAGAAATGTCTGAAATCCAAAAAACTTGTGGGTTCTGGTAGGCCTAGCTACTCACCCCAGCTTTTAATCCCTTTCCTGGCCAAGGAAATCACCTACTAGAGGAAGTTCTGTGAAGGTCCGCATGAACCTGGTGAGCAGATACTTAACACCTTAGCAGCTGAAATATGTTTGCCAAGCTCTTTCAGCTGTATCAGTACTAGTGCAATGTGTGGATCACCGTGTGCATGCAACACATTTAATTGCATCCTCGCCACTTTGCTCCTTCTCACTTCCTTTGGGAAGAACAGATGTTTAGATCTGGATCAGACAGCTAGAGGAATGCCCTGATTTCTTCAGGTCTGCAAGATGCAGAATGTCTCTCTTAGCTTAGATGATTGCAACCATCTAGTAATGCACATTGCCAAATACCTTGT